CGAATGTAATGTAGGGCCTTAATAATTAGAACAGGGTTCCTTTAAAGGGATCCTTAAAGGGTTCTATAGGGGATCTATAGTAGGGTTCTATATTAGAGGCCTTAATAATTAGAACAGGGTTTGGGGGCCCATTATGCTATAATTATAGGGTTTAGAGTATATAGGGCCTTAATAATTAGAACAGGGTTTTGGGGCCTATTATACTATAATTATAGTAAGGAAGCCCTGGAATAGTATTGGTAATTCTTTAATTAGGCCACTACATTACGGGAACTCCGCGCAGTGTTTCGGGGGTTTTGACCTGCGTTTCACAGACCCTCGTCTCGGCAGCGAGAGCCTTTCGATCGAGTGGTCGTACCTCCGACCAGCACAGCACTCACCAAAAAAAGACGATTTAAGCCTAGGGGCTGCATCGTAGAGGCGACCCCAACCAGCAGCTCGCGGCGATAGGTGGGGTAGTTGTGAAGGTGCACGAAACCTCTCAGCGCTTTCTTTCTGAATATTTTCCAGCTGGGCCGGGGGGGCTTTCTTGCAGTTACCTGTTGTTGCCTTTAAGCTCTTCACAAACCCGGTGTCACCTGACTGGTCATGGGAAGTCTCGGACGGAAGCCAAAGGTACAGATTGTGGCCGAACTAGGCAAAATGGGAGGTTTGCGACACAGTGTCACTGAAGAATTAGAAGAGACCACAGCAACTGCCATAAAACTGCGAACTCCGCAAAGCCTTCTTACCGTCCATGCTTCAATATACCCTTTCGAGGTCAACTCTACTAAGCCCCAGGATGGATTCAGGGCAAGCGGGTAAGGAAAGTTCAGGATTGAAATGCCTTCGGGAATACGGTTTCGGCCCGGATTTGGCGACCTCGGCGAATCTAGGGACATCGAACTGATGGAGGACTGTTGCTAGTTGCTAAAGATTGACATTTTTCGATTTCGCGGGGTCGAAGACAATCTCAACATGTTGCAGAGATCTTTGTTGAAAACCTTTTACGAAAGCTCCGCCGTGATGTTTAGAGCTTGTAATAGTGACTCCTAGAGCCTGAAAACGGCGAATCCCCACCCAAAACCAAGCTTTGTCTTGCAGTAGCTTGTGTGCCGAAGCACACTATATGGGAGCCTTGACAATCTTCATAGGATTCTGGGGCATATTATAGTGCAAGGCCCCCTTTATAATATGACGACACCGCTGCATAAATCCCCTCTAGATAACTCTAGATAGGTTGTCCTTTGCTCTGACCTAAGACACCTCCTGTCGATTCGGTTGGGCCAGACACAGGAAACCTGGGGAGGAGTGCCGGTGCAGCTCTTATCGGCAGTATGGTATCCAAATCTGAACCCGAAGACCCCCAGCACTCAGTAGCCCCAACCCCCCCAGCAGACAAGAAGCGGATGCGGCCATGACGGACTGAATATCCGGCATTCTCCCGGTCGTAATGATCAACATGACCTGCTCGGATCATCGCCACGCTTTCGAGCTACGGACTTCTTTGAATCAAGGTTTAGGGTTTAGGGTTAAGGGTTAAGGGTTTAGGGTTTAGGGTTTAAGGGTTTAAGGGTTTAGGGTCTAAGGTTTGGGGTTTAGGAAAGCCTGGAAAGTTTGTTTCAATCTAGAGAGCTTAGGGGCCGAGAAAGCTCTTTGGCACGTAGGATTAGGGGGTTTAGGGTTTAGGGTTTAGGGTTTAGGGTTTAGGGTTTAGGCTTAGTTGCCCAAGTAACGAGCGAAACAACCGTCCGCCTTAAGTGGTCCATATAAACCCTGCAAGGTCAAGGCTTACCTCCTCGGCTTCAAAGTGGTGTAGGGGCGCTTGTGATTAGACTAGGCTTTCGGGGGTATGTTGTATCTGGTATAGAGGCTGTAGTCTAGGGATAACAAAGAAACCCTACGGAATACGATTACCGATTGTTAAAGCCCGATATTGTTTCGAGTTGTCGGAGCTAGATTCGAAGACGGCAGATGGCGCACCGGGGAAGAGCAGAAAGCGAAAACAAAGAACTCACAAAGCCCATCGGTGCAAAGCCAAAGACAATCTGCCCCTGTAAAAGAAGTACAGCAGGCATATGGGCGGTTGTCAAAATTATGGTCCCTTTTGGGGTACCCTAAATAATAGGTGCCGTATTATAATAAGGACCCAAAAAGGGACCATAATTTTGACAACTACCTATATGGCAGAACACTGCCATCTCTTCACAATGAGCCTTTCATTTCCGGACCTGGAGCTTTACGACTGCAAGATTCAGGGTGTAGGGTTAGGGTTTCAGGCTGTAGCAATGGCTTGGGGTTTTTAAAAATACACGCAGCATTTTTGCCCTTGAGCCAGGTGCGCCATACTCAACTTAAACCACCCTAATTCGGAGGTTCAGCATCGTATCTCCCTAACACCCTATAAACCCCAAAGAGTAAGCCCTAAACCCTGATTCGAAGGTTCAGAACCTTGCCGCACCTCCGAAATTGTTCACCACCGTCTGGCCATCACACCCGGCCACGGCAGAGCGGATGTACCTTGGATTCGGTAGGCCCTGAACACCCCGAGTTCCTGATGTAGGGGGCAAGACAAGGGTTTAGGGTTTAGGGTTTAGGGGCAGATCATAGTATAGGTAGATACATAGGGACTGCAACGGGATACTCTTACCGGCTATTCCGACACCTATATTCCTACGTTCATCGAACTTTGCCAAAACCTCCCAACTACCCTCTATTAGAAAACCCAGATACCTAATTTTGGGGCCTTAATCATTAGAATAGGGTTTTGGGGCCCATTCTGCTAGAATTATATTAGGAACCCCCAAAATAGTATAGGCAATCATTTAGGCCCCCATAGTACCTGCAGTGACTATTGGGATGCTTCAAGTTGTTCTCCAGGGTCCAGATTTTCCAAAGCCACTCAAAGCCCCAAGGCCTGAACCACCTAGCACACGGATCAGGGTTTGGAGGTTGAGGGCTCTAGGGTTTCGGGCTAAGGACTTGGGCCAGCACCCCAAGCCAGAAGCCTTCGACCACCATCCGCCAAGCTACGGGTGTCTTGCATTTTCGGCTTCTGTGCTTTGGGGCTTGCAACCTGTAGGCTTATGCAGCCGCTGTAGCCAATATAATGCAGGGGCCTTAATAATTAGAATAGGGTTTTGAGGGGTTCCTCATTATAAGTTAAGTATGGCATAATATACCCCAAACCCTATTCTAATTATTAAGGCCCCTATATTGCACTGAGCCCGCAACATTTTTCCGGGACTGAAGCCCATCGGCGAGAAATTTCTGCCCAAACCATGCAGATAAAACCCCAAGTAATATACGGGCCTTGATAAGTACCCTGTCCTATGTTGGGGGGGGGTTCCTTAATATGTTTGTAGTAGGCATTACCCCCAAAAACCTATCCTAATTATAAAGGCCCCTACATTATGCCAACTCCTCAAATAAACCCTAAACCCAAAACCCTAATGTGCCTTATGCAAGGGGTGTGTCAGCGGACGTCTGAAGAGTGGGGATGCTAAGAACCCTAAAGCCTAAACCCTAAACCCTAAAAACCCTAAACCCCAAACCTGAAACCCTAAACCCTACACCCTAAAACCCTAAACCCGCTAGGTGGGAGTGTTGGGGCAGGGGGCGGGGTGGGGAAGAGGCGAAGCCTGGAACTCTAGGGTTAAGGGTTTAAAGCCTTAGGGCTTTAGGGTTTAGGGTTTTAGGGTTTAGGGCTTAAGGTACAGGGTTTAAAGCCTTAGGGCTTTAGGGTTTGGGTTTTAGGGTTTTAGGGTTTATTTAGGGTTTGGGTTTTAGGGCTTAGGGTTCAGGATTTGGGTTCAGGGTTTTAGGGTTTAGGGTTCAGGGTTTTAGGGTTTAGGGTGTAGGGGCTTTTCAAAGCCGTAACCCCTCAAGCCTCAAATCCGAACCCCCAAGCCCTGCCCTGAACCCCGAAGCCGACGCCCCGCGACTAGTTCCTACTACAACCGGAAGCCCGATACTACAACGGGTTTAGGGTTTAGGGTTTCGAGTTCAGAAGCCTTATACCGCAACTGGGCCTGGATTTGCGTAAAACCCGAAACCACCATATCACAACCAGCCAATAAGCTTACATTTTGCAATATGTTGCATGGTCTCCTATCTGATGGTCAACCTTTAAGGACGCACATTCATTTTTAGAAACAAGTCAGTTGCAGTAGGTACCGTTCTTCGCCCACATGTTACGATCTACTAAATCTTCATGATGAAACCGTCAATCGTCAAAGCCTACACCACCCATAAACCAAAACCCCAGCCTCAACTTTCCTCACAGCCTAGCCAGATGGAGATACTAATGCTTATTTATATTGTCAGCATACAACAGGCGTAGCAATGATACATAAAACCATTTGGGTTAAAATCAAACATTACTATTGATTAACAATCATGTTTTAATTCGTATAAGATATTATATGATATATCACCTTGCCGGCTCCATAGACGCCGGTCAGTGCACTGCGATAGGCCACTTCGGCATCGGACATGGCAAGGAGCTTCTTGGCAGATTTTCCAGCGATCTTCACGGTGGTGTCTCGGAAGCCTTTGAGCATCTCCGCAATATGTCCATGTTCCATCGTGGAGGTCAACGCAAGAGCAGCGATCCCGAACTCGCCGGCTGGGTTGATGGAACCAAAGACATGCAACGGCCATCCAAGCAAGTTGAATTTGCCCCCGTCGATGGCCACGGGGCACTCATTTCCATTCACGAACCGACGCTGTAAGAAAGGAGCCGTGGCAATCACAGCGGCGCGGTACTTCTTGCTGGTGTTTGGTGGTGGTGCTGGTCTTGGTGGGTTTAGTGGTGGTGCTGGTGTTGGTGGGTTTGGTTTTGGTGCTGGTGTTGGTGGGTTTGGTGGTGGTGCTGCTGCTGCTGCTGGTGGGTCTGGTGTTGTTAACCCCATCGGTCCCTGAACCGCAAAGGGAACACTGGGGGTAAACCTACGTCAAAAAGGGTGCCCTGAAGCCCTGAAATCCAAAGGGGTTTAGGAGCAGTGAGGAACAACACATCTAAAGGAGAACGTATAAGGATGCCCTAAAAAACTTCCTACGACTTGTAAAGACGCCCTCGTAGACCTTGCTAAACATTCGACAACGATATACAAGGCTCCAGCACACCCCTTAACAACGGAAGACTGTTTACATAACCCTACACTAAATAAACAAGAACGTTCCAGTTGTAGTAGGGACCCTTT